TGATTCATGTTTGTGGCTGTAATGTGACAAAATGTGGGAAAGTTCAAGGGGGCCCAATACTTTTGCAACCACTGTAAAACTGAATTGAAAATGGTCTGTGGACTGACGAGACAAAAGCTGAACTTTCTGGAAGGTTTTCATCTTGTTGTTTAATCTGATGTAAAACTAACAGCATTTTATAAAAGACAACATCACACCAACAGTCCAATGTGGTGGTAGTGGTAGTGTGATGGGCTTGGGCTGCTTTGCTCCCTCAGGGGCCGGACGACTTGCCGTACTTGAATGAACCTTGAATTCTGCTCTTCACCACAATCTGAAAAACAAACAAACAAAACAAAAACAAGAAACAAAACCTGAAGGAGAAAGTCTGCTATCACTTTGTGGCCTTAAGCTGTCTCATCACCGACAAGTCCACCTCTGAATGGCTCAGAAATAACAAATAAGGTTTTGGAGAGGCTTGCTGAGACTTTACTGGAGTCAGACTGAGGTGCTCCTGCGTAACCTTGGGCAGGATGTTCATTATGGCTTGATGGAAAAAACAACTATGCAGAGAATGGTGGGCCAGAATTCCCAACTTTAAGGTCTCTGTCTCTCACACACACACAAACACACACACACACACACACACACACACACACACACACACACACACACACACACACACACAGGGTTAGTTAGCTTTTTCCCTTAATAAATGAAATTGTTATTTAAAAACTCTTTGTCTAATATAAAAACATGTTTAAACAAAACGAAGTAAAAACGGTAGAAAAAGAAGCAGAAGAAGAATGAGATCAACAGATGACTTTGCTTCTGTACCACTCAGCTTTCTTTTTTATTCTTACAGATGAGTGCCAGACCAAGTATGGGAATGCTAATGCCTGGCGTTATTGCACCAAAGTCTTTGACATGTTAACAGTTGCAGCTGTGAGTATTACACTGTTAATGTAATTTGTACTGTTATTACATCTTTCCAGGTACATGACAGCTGCTTATGCTTTCAAAGTGATTGTATGTAGGGAATGACAGCTCTCCAGAAGTGAAGCCAAAGAGTCTGCATCAGCAGCTGTGCACACTAAAATGATGTGCACCAGCAGTTATCACAAGATACCAAAGTGAGAGGTTAGAGGTGCAGACCACGGCTGAAACAAGTCAGGAAGTGAGACAAGACAAGCAAAACGACATCAAATGGACCAGAGACAGACTGTCAAAATAAAACATGAAGCAACAAACCAGGGAAACGCCGAACAGAGAGATGAAGATACAGTGAAACGCTAGATTAAACTAAGACAGACAAGATGTGAAACAAAAAATGAAACCAGGGGTGAAAACTCAGAGCACTTGGTCAAAGACAAAGAAGCATGATAGCGTGAGGCCATCTCATCTTTTACAGCATCGACAGGAAGGGAAGGGGCTAGCAACCCAACTTTAGAAAAAGATCAAACAGCAAATGTTTGCGAATGTTCTGCTGAGAACGTTTTTCTTAGCCAACAGTGTCACCTTCCTGATGACGTGGTAGTTCATACTTTGCTGTCGTTAACCACCAAGGAGTCTTTTAAACTCTGAAAAGCACCCATCCCTCAGTCACTGTGAGACCTAAGTAACCAGGTTTAGTATTTCACAACTTTTAAAAAAATGTCCTTATCTTTGATGTCCGTGTTAAGTGCAGCCATGCACAGCTCGCAGCACTCTGGTCGCTCTCTAAGCACTGGATGGAAGTCGGCCTGTCACACACGGTTGCTCTCCATGTCAGAACTGCAACTCTTCAACTTGAGTGGTTGAAATGTTAAATTCTTGTGTTTGGGTGCCTGTTTGCGCCACATGATGGTGAACACTGGCTCGCACGTTATTCTGTGCTCGTGTAAAGTCTCAGAAGTACGACCCTATAATGCATCTGTGATTCCAAACTGTTCTTCTTGGCTTGTTTTCTTTCAGCTGATGGACGAGCAAATCCTGTGTGTCCATGGAGGCCTCTCTCCAGACATAAAGACCCTGGACCAAATTCGAACCATTGAGCGGAACCAGGAAATCCCTCACAAAGGAGCTTTTTGTGATTTGGTGTGGTCAGACCCTGAAGATGTGGATACCTGGGCCATCAGCCCCAGAGGAGCTGGTTGGCTTTTTGGTGCCAAGGTCACAAATGAGGTTGGTTTGTTATACTTGATTACTTTTGATGATATTGATGTAATAAATGTCCTGCTACATGAAAATGTGTTTTTAGGTGTAAAATGATAGCTGTGAAAATATGCAGTCGATTACTATTGCCACAGCTGGATTCCCATCTGTATGAACTCATTACAATTTTATCCTCTTGCTACATTCAAACTGTAGCAGGCCCCAAGCTACGCGTTACCTATACTCCCTTCCCCTTACAAATGGCAGAGATCAAGCTGATCCACAGCAGTATGGTCAGCTGCTAAACTTTATTCATAATGAGCTGTCACCCTTGGCCTCTTCAAAGCCACGGGACTCTGCTGACACAAACTGTGACCAGTCTGAGGTTAACTGGGATCCAGACTTGGTGTATCAGCAGGCCACCGTAGCTGGATGAACATGTACTCCATGTACTCCTGTATTCGAAGTACTTGTAAAACTAACAGCGTGCCAGAGACGCGTTAAATTCAACTTTATGTAAATGATGTAGTGAACATGAGGAGAGCGATATCATGTGAACAGCTGAAGTGAAACACTGTTTACCTGTTTGTATAGGTGTAGAAACAGTTTGTGGCAGAGAAGTAGATTTTTCTTATGTTTGGAGAAATTTCCCTTCAAAATCAACTTCTCACTCGAATTAGTTCATGGCAGCAGCACAGGATTACTGCAGCCTTGTTTTGGGATTGTAATCCTTTTTTTCCTCCTTTTCTTCTCTCATTTCTTTCTTTAAAAAAACTGCAGTTCGTCCACATCAACAACCTGAAGCTGATCTGCAGGGCTCATCAACTCGTCCATGAGGGCTACAAGTTCATGTTCGATGAGAAGCTGGTAACTGTGTGGTCAGCTCCCAACTACTGCTACCGCTGTGGCAACATAGCCTCCATCATGGTCTTCAAAGACGCTAACACGAGAGAGCCCAAACTGTTCAGAGCAGTGCCCGACTCTGAAAGAGTCATCCCGCCCCGAACAACAACACCTTATTTCCTGTAAGCAGGTCAAAGCTCAAACACAGGCATTTGTGCAGTGCACAGTGCTGGCGGGGACAGCTGCATCAGCACTTGAGAGCCCATATACATTTAATACATTTAGAGTATCTACAGTGCATTTTTGGTGCCAACTGTCAATTGCTACTCCCACTCTGTGCATTCAATACCATTATTCTGCAGCTTAAATCAGTACAGCAAAGGAGGCTTGCTGAGCAGTGTCACACTGCTGGTGTGTAACAGAAAAGAAGAAAGTTGGCTAACCCCTGTAAAATATTCATATTTATAAATCAACATACGTTGTCACTGCTAAGCAAACTGTGCGCAGTGTCCTAAAGACTCTTCTATTGTAGCTTCTTATGTAAATACAGCTGCGTGTCAGAGGAGAACGCACTGCACAAACGGAAACGTTGTATCTGTCCAACCAAGTTTCAAAAGAGGTGTCCTCCTCATGTGATATCATAAATGAATAAATATGTAAACCAGAGAGTTGATGTATTAAATAAAATGTATTCTTTCCTATCTTGTTGGAAATATCAGTATTGTTAAATCCATGGTACCCAAACTTTCAACAATCTGCTCTTGTAATTATATTTTTTCTGTGTGTTGCTTTAAATAAAGAAGTCCAAAAAATTCTGATTTCACGTTGCTGCTTGGAAGAAGAGCCAAGAATGACCCCTCGGTTCATCTGTACTCATGAGCTTAACATCTTTGGTATTAGTGCTATTTATGGTATATCCTGGATATTGTGAAATGCAAGTGTCATTTATTTAAGTAAAAGAAAAACCAAAACTCAGGCACTGTGTTACAATTCATTTTATACTGAGTGCCTGAACACACAGGTGTTGTAAAAGTTACAGCATTTTGAGTTTCATGCTTTTAAATGACACCAACTCCATAAAAAATACACAGAAGACTGTTTTTATGAAGTCATCAGGAAAAAACAAAAAAAATCAGGCACTGTATGGGAGGGGGGGGTTCTATGATTTTTGCACATTCATGTCTTACAATTAAACCCAAAAGGTTGAGCTGACGGATTTCTTCCTTTAGTAAAGCAGTTTCTTTATCATCTGGAAAAACTGAGACATACTGTTGAAACTGCGCTGTGGGGTTAAACGTCTTTACACAGACAGAGTTTCACAGGTCCGGCCCACTGAAGGTAAAGTGGACTGTATGTGGCCCATCATGTTAAATAACTTTGCCTGAGCTTCCAATATATTTAGCTGTATGAAAAGTTGCATTTAAAATCTGCCAGAAATGTTACTTAATTTATGCTTGCTACTTTTATGCAGTGCTAACTAAAGGGCCGCAGCCTTTGCTGACACAGAATGAAAAAATGATGGCTTTTCTGTGTAAACAGGGCTGTGGGATGTCATTATCTTCTTATTGCTGAGAATATATATATATTTATCTATTTTATTTTTTTTGAGCGTCTCTCTCAAAGCCACCGGGAATCCCCCGCTTCTGATTGTGTGATTGCTCTTGGTGCCTACAGGGAGCGCTACATTTCCCCACCTCTAACTCCCTCTATCCAATGAGCAGAGGGCTAATCGTGACGTCTTCAGTCATCTGGGTGATTACGTGTAAAGTCTCCTGTATGAGCTGTAGCTCGCTGACTAGCACTGGCTAGCATCCCGTTAGAAACACAAAGTCTGTAGGTCATATTACGGACTGCCACGGCTCCAGCTTTGCTTTCAGTGTTTGTAGAGAGCAAAAAGCATTTCACCCTCGAGAACCACACGAAGTGACTTTCAATCGAAGTGAAAATGGTAAGAGGAAGGCGACTTCAGTGTACGGGCAGTGTAACGTCAGCTAGCACCACCGGTGGTGATGTTAACTCTTATTGTTATGGTTAGAAGAGTTAGATGGCTAGCTGTCTGTCAGAATAGACTCTCATGTCGTACTTTGTTTTTCCCCTTAATTAATTCAACCCCAGGTTTGTCTTTGCTGCAGTTTGCGACTAAACTCGTTCTTTAGCTGTTGGGTTGAGTAGGGTAGGATACTCTGGAGCCAGGCCAGGGGAACTGATTTAGTTAGGAACTGCCCAGAGTCAGGGACAGTTGTTGTGATGAGTAACTGTAAGGTTTTCAGAGCTGCAAGAAAAGCCACATCAATGACAAACGTTCAAAGGGCTGGTGCACTTGCAACAGGAACCACACAGAAACCTGCGGTCTCCTCGGAGTAACCAAAATGATTGGACTACTGTTGGAACCATGCTGGCTTCCCCGTGCCATGTCTGATGGACAAACGGTCTGTTTTACTGCCAGTAAAAGTTTGTCAAATAGCGCTGTTAGTGGGCTGTAGTGTAGCCAAATGAAACCGCCAGGAGATATGCGAGTCCAGCACGTCTACCACATGATGCCAAAAACTGTGGATCTTGTTCTGGACTCATTACAGCAATGTGACAGTTGTCAAGCTTGGGCTTCTGAAGAATGTATAGTCTCTGTGTTAAACACACAGATAACACATTGCATATCCTTCCCTGTTGTCATTTCCTAACATCTCATACCACAGTCACATGTTGTGCACTAAGCTTCTTCCTGGATATTTAATAACTTTATTTTCTCATTTTGTAGATGTAGCAGTATGGAAGTACTATCAGGAACCTCTTTCAGGTGTTACTGCATAAGGAAGTGGTGCTGTCTGAGGCGACACAGCAGGGAGCCTTAAACTCTGAGCACTGGGTGAAGAAACTGAACTGCACCCAAGAAGAGAAACTGAAAGAAGAATATGTTTGCTAAACTGAAAAAGAAGATTGCAGAGGAGGCCGCCACAGCACCTCGGAGTGGTGCTCGCATACCCCGCACCATCAGCAAGGAATCCATCACCTCAGTGGGAGCAGACTCCGGGGATGACTTTGTAAGTTCTTTAGAATTTTGACAGTTTGGTTACTAACATGAATCAAGTTTATTAATAGAAAAAAGGAGGAGTAGACTTCAGACTTGTCCTTGTTCTTTGTGCTTTAACATGACAGAAAACATTCATCTCTGGGTGGTCACTCAGTAACAGTTTGCAATATGTTTTCCTATATTACTTTAACGTGTTCACAGGTCCTTGGAGTGCTGCTTTGCATTAAATATTAAATGACCATTTAACACAGATGATTGAGAAGTATTGTATCAGCAACAAAGTAAATGCATTTCACATTGTTCTTTATGCTTTTGAACTCAGTTTTTCTCATGTTGACTCATGCTTATTTTTTAGTTTCATATTGTATTTCACGTATTTATTGTTCCTGTTTTTGCATTCTGCAGTTGTGGATCTACTAGTGGGATTGCGTATGCGTGTAAATTGCTCAGATATGAAGGCCTTACTGTGCTTCTCTGGCAGCTCCTGTTGATGCTAAACACTGTGGCCCTGGTAAATTAGTTATCCTCTGGCTGTCAGCAGAGCCATTCCTGGGTAGCAGCCCTTAGTTTTGATGGACATCGATCGATCAATCAATCAATCAATCAGACCTTTATTTGTCACATGCAAGTTGCCCCGCAGTGAAATGGGACATCACATGGGGAGACAGGTCAGGGATCGGTAGTATTACACTACAATGGGAACGTCCAAGAGTGGAAAAAGGAGACGTCTACTCATGCTGGGCTCCTGAGGACAGCATGAGAATAATAATAATGGATTGGATTTATATAGCGCTTTTCAAGGCACCCAAAGCGCTCTACAATGCCACTATTCATTCACTCTCACATTCACACACTGGTGGAGGCAGCTACAGGTGTAGCCACAGCTGCCCTGGGGCAGACTGACAGAAGCGAGGCTGCCATATCGCGCCATCGGCCCCTCTGGCCAACACCAGTAGGCAAGTAGGGTAAAGTGTCTTGCCCAGGGACACAACGACCAGGACAGAGAGCCCAGGGATCGAACCGGTGACCTTCCGGTTACAGATGCGATTCCCAACCCCCTGAGCCACGGTCGCCCCGAACAGAAAACAAAAAAAACTCCTCTGCACAGAAAGCACATAGATGTCCACAGCACAACATTATGGAGCACGTGACAAGCAACTGGATTGGGTAGGGGGTGAGGAGTAAGCAAACACAGCAGCCATCCTGCCCTGCAGCTATTTTTCCAGCGCTGGGCCCAAACCCGCCGTGTTCTCCAGGAGCGAACAAGCATCGAAGGCGTTTGGGAAGGGAGGGGGATGAGTGTGTATCAGTGTGTGTGTGTGTGTGTCCAGAGTTCAGCTGAGACCGTGTCCTTCGCCCTGCCAGGCGAAGTAAACAGTCTTCCAGCATGCCTATAGTAAAGGTGATGGTAGAGTGGAGATTGGCTCTTTTGTGTCTTCATGATCATATTTGAGTCCAGTCTTAACACCAACCCATTTAATGCAATGCTGTGTATATTATGTTATTGTACTTGACTGTTTTCCTTATTTAAGAACAATTTTTTAAAGACAATTGCTTCCATTATAGTTTGTTAATCAGATCCATCTCAGTGTTAGTAGCTCTAATAAGTAGCTCTCGAGAGAGGAAGCCAGACTCCTGAGGCTCCGTTACAGCTGACTAAATAATTTAGTGAAGTTGCTTAGTCGTGTTACAGCCGGCTGATATGTTACTTTGTGTTTTTGGTTTGTAGTATAACAAACATAGTAGCATAGCTGCACACCCTGGCCAGCTTGTCTGCACAACTTTCTGCTGGCACATGTATTTTTCTGTCATCCAATTTATTTTGTTGGAGCTTTCTTGCAGCTGACCAGCATTGGTCATGTGACCCAGCAGAACATCTTTCCATGATTTAAAACACTGGTTCTCAGATGGCATGCTGAGTCAAGTCCAGCCACCGCCATATTTTATGACAATACATCATTACTACAATCTACAACTACACAAAAGGTAGGATAAACTGTGCTGTCGGGAGTTGGCTAATGCTATCTTGGTGCCACAGGCTAAAGAGGGACTTGGAAACCAATCAGACCTTCTGTTAGAAATCTAGCCTACTTTGAAAGGCACTGGGCCCGACCTATAGACGTCAAGACTCGAGGAGTCTGCGATGGTCTGACCATTGTGGCAAAGTCTATGTTAATAAAACACTGAATTGATGGCAAAACAGTAAAATAAAACTAGAAACACAATAACAGCAACACTCTCCAATAACAGTGTAGATGTCCTGGTACACTGAGATGCTGTCAGTGTTGTCTTTGTTTGAAAATACAGTTACAAGAAGAATTGATGACATGTCAGATAGCATAGAGGCCTTTTCGTGCGGACATGGATGCAGGTGTGCTTTGGTATATTTTGGACAAAATCTCAAATGACTGCATCATCCCTGCAGCAGAGCTCCAGAGGCTTGGAGAGTTTATGTCAGGACACACTCCAGAGCATATGCAGAGCTTTGCAGACCGTCATCTACATGTTGTAGCTGTTAACTGACACCAGCGGGCCATGTGTCAAAAATATGTGGACTGTCCTGCACGCTAATCTTGTTTGTTTGTCTTCTTTGTAGTGATGTAAAAACAGAGTATGAAACCATTAAAGTCGTGCCATGCTTCTCAGGGTGTTTGTCACCTTTGGTGCTTGATCCTGTTTCTCTCCCTCATGGTGAGCCCACGTTTCAGCCAGTCAGCATTTGTTCAGTACCTGTTGTAGTCAGATACTACACACAGACTTCCAGTGTGATGGCACCGGCTTTGCTGCTGCTTCAAAGTACATGTCCTCTTCCACTTGCCTGTGGTGTATCATGTAATGTTTCTAGATATAACTACTATGTAGTTATATCTGTTTTAAGCCTCGAGTTTCAAATCCTGCATAGTGCTTACATTCTATTAAGTTAGACAACTGACCATGTTTTAAACGTAATGAAGACTAAGCAGTCCATATCTGTCCCACTGTGAGATTTGTGTTGAAGGTCATGGAAACTCGCTGCTCTTTGTTAAAACTTCTATCAGGATTGTTGGTGTTACTTTTAACTTTGGATACTGATGCTAACACTCTGGTTTGTTCTCGCCTCTATCATTTAAGAAACATTACCAAGTTATGCTTGGCAATATTGGTGTCACACTCTGACCTTGTCATTCATGCTTTTACTTCCAATTCCACTGCTGGTTTACTTATACTGGTTCCCTGTTAACTTTAAGATTCTGGTTTTGACTTCTAGAGCTCTGCATGGACACACCAGTGTGCATAAGAAAACCCTCACATCCATACGTCTCCGGCAGGTCACTGAGGTCATGTGATCAGAACCAGTTGACCGTCCATCACACTAGGCTGGGACCTAAAGGAGACGGAGCTTTTGCAACAGGGTCCAGGCCTCTGCACACTCTCCCTCTGAGCCTGGCATCTGTAGACTCGCTGATCACATTAAAGGAACAGCTAAAACTCATCTTTTTAAACTTGTATTTGTGTAACTTTTTGTTTTTATGTTATAACATTATTTTGTTGTGAAGCACCTGATGAATGGACCAATGGATTGACCAGTTCCACTTCTATAAACGTCTGTATGCCTGATTTTTTTTATTTTTTTTTATTATTTTTTTTATTTTCAGGCATCTGATGGCAGCAGCTCCAGGGATGACCTTCCTGCCCAGCTCCTCAGAAGAAATGATCAGATCCGGAGGCTGGAGGCCAAGCTGTCAGGTATGATGTACAAGAGTAGTGTAAGCAGCCGAAGTGATGCAGTTTTCAGGAGCAATCTGAGTTCAATTTAAATGCAAGTGCGCCCTGTCTTAACTGATAATAATTATAATAATCTGAGAACATCTAAAGGATTTCAGTTTTATCTCACACAAGTTAAAGATGCATATGTTAAATATAGAATTATAATGAGTAGAGGTAATTTGAGGATTAGCTGCATGAGACTGAGGCCTTTCAGCCAGGAGAAACCATGGAAACCAACAAGAAAATCATATATACAAACATGCATTTAGACTTTTTATGGTCTTGGTAATAGAGTGTGAATGCTTCATGTTTATGAGCCCCACAGCACGACTGTTACTGCACAGTGTCAAAGCTGGGCAGCATGAATACTGGAGTTATTGTGCGTGTAAAGTATATGACTAAGGCAAAAGTCTGTGCTTAATCCCATTTCAATCAAATGGCAAACAGGTTTGAGTAGCAGGTGGGTGGGGCTGAAACAGATTTTTCAAAGCTGTTTGGCTCTCAGGGATTACGTGCACATGCATTGACCTTAATATGTGACACATATGACAGAAGATGAGGAAGAGCCTAATAGGCCAGTTTAAAGCAGGGCAGCTGATTTCTCTGCTGTCCATGCTGCAGTGCACAGACTGATGGCCATGAAGTGATTGTGTTAATGTCTCAGTGTGAATATTATTTTTAGTATTTAACTGTGTGTGGCTTGTTTTTCTGTTGCAAATAAATATTGAACTACTTTTTTTCTGTGAAGGTTCTCAGTCATCCAGGTCATCGTAGTCAAAGGAGCTTGCAAAGAAAAGCGTCTGGACTTCTTTAAGTTGCTTGAAGACGTTTCACCT